CTAAATCTCTAATTTGAACACAGATGTTGACACAACACAAAATAATACCTGAAATTCATTTACCAACAAAGATCTGATAATGTGCGTCCGTCTGGTATTCATTATCATATAGTCTGGTTCCTGGTCTGCAGGTGCCATCTGATCTATAATGTCTCTGCTTTCCAGGCCAATGGAGGAGGACAGAGGAGACGTGCTGAGTCTGGTGGAGTCAGATGACGAGCAGATCTTTCAAGATGCCGTTCCCCGGCTTCCTCCGTTAACCAACGGATGCCAAACAACGCTTGTCCAGATACATCGAATCCCATCAAGTATGACCTCATCGTGGCATTGATTTCATGGCTTGTTAATGAAGTGTAAAAATGTTTGGTGATGTAAACAGTATCCCTCTACTTTTGTTTTAGGTGATCATGAGGATGAAGAAACTGCTGACTCAAGCCCACAGCAACAGGAAGAAACTGTACAGACAGAAGAGCCAGTAGCTCTTGTAACATTTTAGTTATTGGGTGCTTTTATTGTTTTTTATTTTAAGTAAATACCATTTAATCCCAATGAGAATGTGAACAGAATTGGTGGCAGACTCGAATGTAAAAAAATGATCTCTTTTAATTTGTTTTTTAAACAGGGTTTTGTAAGTTTATTTCTATGATTGATTTGTTTGTACAGAATTTTGCATATGTTGCTCTGATATTGAGATACATGCAGTAAATGAAGCTGTAAAAATGTGATTGTTGGCATCTTTTTGGTGGTGAAACAATGGGTGCAGTCATCTGTACTTTATTCCCTATTCACTGATTAAGTATGTGTTTCCACCCAGTATTAGTACACATAGTATTTACAGATTGTGACTACGCCAGGCTAGAATGCAGCTCTAGACTGGAGCTATTTTAAAAATGTGGTGGAGTCCGTCATCTTTTAAAAATGTGGTGGAGTCCGTCATCTCACAGTCTGTTGCGTGGAAAGTAGTGGAGGTTAAAAACAACCGAAACTTTCTCGTCTTCCTGAAATTACTAAAATCCATTCAAGTTTACATGAGACCTGGGTGACAGTGAGAGTGAAATATTACTATATTTTTAACTCACTGTCATTTGAGCCGGAAGTATGGGTGCTCAAGAGACTGCAGCGCCCCCTAAAATCATTAGTTTTTTAATTAAATGGAGCTGAAATTATTTGACAATCACATAATCTCTTGATCTACTATGATAATTTATCCATAATTTAAATATTTTTTTATGCAGAAATACCAAACATTCCTTCATTCCACCTTCTCCACTGTTAGGCTTTGAGGCTTTTCTTCGTCTTATGTGATAGTAAATTGAATATCTTTGGGTTTTTGAATGTTTTAAGATAAAACAACAATTGGGAAGATGACATCCTGGGCTTTAGAAAATTATAGAATAAAGACATTTTATAGACTAAATGATTCATCAATAATGGAAACAATCGTTAGCTGAATCCTTAGTTTTTAAGTGGGCGACAACACTCAAAATAAATCATTAAGTAAAATATTCAAAGCCAGTCTGAATTTTTATGGCTGCGCCATTACATCAAATGGACATATTCCATATGTTTTATTAATAATGTTAATAATCAATTCATCGTCAATATTTTATACCACTTTTCATTGAAAGATAAAACATAAAAAAATTACATAAAAATGCAAGGCAATGCAAGTTTATTTATATAGCACCTTTTATACACAGGCAATTCAAAATGCTTCCATAATGCAGACGGACATTAAGCATAAGATAGGGTACTAAAATGCAAATTAAATAATAATAAAAACATTTTTAAAGAAAAAAAACATGACAAATAAATACAAGGCCAATATGTGAGCGCAATGTGTAACATAACAAGGGCTTAAGATCCATTTAAAGTCCAGAGAAAAGACCATTACAGTAATATAACCTGCTGGAAAGGCTATTTGAACATGAATCTTCTTTCTTTATATATTCATAAAAGATATAACATCAAGTAGAAATAATAGCATTGTGATAAATATATAAAGTATGTTTTGAATTTTAAATACAGATCTTGACAAGACTATAAAACAATATGAACTCCAGCTATCTGAGTGTTCATCAACAGTGGAAAGAAGGGCATAGTTCATATATATTGTAATTTAATGAGGGGGGGGTGTGGCATGGCTTAGTGAGGTTACGTAATAAAAGAAAAACGTGACTACGTGGGGCAACATTGCAGCCAATGGTACAAAGTGAGTCAGACAACAGGAAACCAGCTGAACATTGTGTTTCTCCTTCGCACATTTTTCCCACAGCAAACAGCATCAAACAGGGTCGCAGGAGCACAGAGGAGTCCCAGCTCTCTCCGGACATGAGAGTGTCTCTGACAGGGAGGACGCGTTCAGGAAGCCAGCGATAAAGCGGAGAATGCGAAGAGGAAAACGATGTGCTCCACGGATAGAAACGCGGAGCTACAAACGACATGTAAGTCGCACATTTATGAATAATATCCGAGCTGTCTCATGTTGTCATCGCAACGCCCCGTAACCAGGCAGCGGTCTCCGGAGAAACCTTTCAGAGCAAACGCGCGAGCAAGCGAGCAAGCGAGCGGGGACGGTGATTAGAAAATGGAGGAAAACGAGCTGCTGTCAGCGTCGGTGAGGGATGAGTCTGCTTAACCGTTCACTTTATGTTGCTGGTTCGTCCCTCTCCAGCGTCCGACCCGGCTCTTATCCTGGAGCTGAAGACCAGGCGTCCACCGTCCTTGGAGGGCCGAGCGGGATGCGAGACCTGGAGCGTGGACTTCTCCCCGGACGGAGCCTGGTTCGCCTGGTCGATGGGACACGGGATCGTGTGGGTGGTCGCCTGGCCCCTCGACTCCGAGTAGGTTCAGTTTGCTACCTGTACGTTTAATCCACACACGGTGCATTCAGGTGTCCCTCGTACATTCAGGCCACTGTTAAAAGGGTAGGAGCAAGTAAACATGGAGGCTGTTTTTATGTGTGAGGAATCAAACCGCAGTGGGATAGAAGAAATGTATTTATATTTTGCTTATTAATATCATTGTGATATTATTTATTGAAATATAAATTACAAGCTATGGTAAAAAAAAAAATGAAAATGTAACCATAGATTAATGTTTTTTTGTTTTATCATGAATATAAGAAAATGCCTGGCTGGATTAGCTTTTATATTATGGAGAGCAGACATGAGCAAATAAAACACTGCAAAAATCAATCACATAACTTTGTCTTGGTTGTCAAAGATGTTGTGATGAAAAGTGGCTCAGACATTTTGGATTAAAAGTGTGCAGCAATAAACTCAGCAGGATAAAATAACACTTCATTACAATAGGAAGAGTATTTATCGGATTATTTCACAATTTCATGGCTGAATTAGGCTTCAAGGATAAATACAAACACTTCTTTCTTCATTTAATATTGAACATACCATGTTCTCTGCGCTTCCCGCCCCCTTAAAACAGGCCCCATTTTGATAGCTGTACTTGTCCCTGGTCCATGATTTAACCAGATTTAAAGTGCTCAGAAAGGATTTCCTTTTTGTTCCAGGTCCCTGTGTTCACAAGGGCTGGGGTTTGTTTTGTGTTTCCATCAGTGCCAATATGATAGCTGCACGTAGGTACCAAATGTCAAAACAATACCTTTTAGTTTGGCACAGAATATGCCAAATTGCTCCATGCATCAATGTTGAATAAATAAATCTACTTAAAAACAATCGGAGCAGAAGATCTGCGATCAAAGAAACGGCTCCTTGTTTGGAATGATTGTTGTTGTCTGGAGGCAGGAGAACAAATATATCAAATCTTTGTTATTAGCTCCTTCCCATGTCCCATTTAAAAATTAAAAACACTGGAACCAGAAAATATATTCACCACTCTGTTGGGCTGTTACATGTAATTCTGACCTGTCCAACAGCACTTAAAGGCAGCATCATATAATCATCAACTCCAGCTTCACACCTCCTACATGTGAGATTTTTATGGTATCTGCGTACTCGATGCTCTTCTCACCCACAGAGATAGTCAGAATGGAGAGACTGACAGAGGAGACAAGAGCTTCAGTTGTGGTCACCCAGTATGGGGCCTCGCATTCGGACCCAGACCTCCAAAATCTACTGCGGCAGGACACCCAGCTAAAAGACCACCAAAAGGGAACAACAGCCTGCTTCTGGCCACAGGCTTGGAGAACGGGGTGATCAAAATCTGGAATGTGTTAACAGGTGAGATTCCTGCGGGTAAAAATGTTACCTGCGCTGTTTTCATGTAATTCTGTTTTTGCTGATTATTCCAAATATCTTTATGTGATTTCAGGTGATGCTGTGTTTGATCTCCACGGCCACGAAGGTGTTGTGAGGGACCTGGTCTTCCCTCAGAACGGGACGCTCACGCTCATATCCTCTTCTCGGGACAAGACTTTGAGGATTTGGGACCTGGCTCATAAAGGTATGAGCACTTTTGTAGAATACTTTAATAACTGATGTAAAGTAATTTCTTCAAATAAACCCTTGCCACAATCCGTCGTCTGATTTTTACACTTCCACTTGTAATTGCTCCACTTGTAGTCTTCAGAAACGCCCTCACTGATATGACTTAAGTGTTTACTTAGAAAACAGTGTGTTTGTGTTGCATTTTGATAAGTAAATAGTTTGAGGAAGCAGTTGTTTACATTCAGGGCGGACATTTCCAATATTCATTATGAGATATCACATTTAAGTGTTTGTTTTGTTTAATGTAGACTGTAGGCCATTTCCCAAAACATACGATGTGTTTTAATACTGATTTCCAACCTTACAGGCTGCCAGTGGTCCAAGTTAAAGACTGGTAATCCATTACAGAACACATTTTAAAAGCTTGTTTTTACGTAACGCCATCATCAGGATGTTTTGATTGACATTTGATACTTGACATTCAGCTTCTGTAAAGCTATCTTATGGCCACCTTACTTTGTCCAGACCTGCCAACTGCATCTCACAGCTCCAGGGAATATTAACATGTGAGACGTGAGAAACATGTACACCATGTTTCCACCTCATTTGTGCTCAGGCTTTGGTTCGCAGACAACATTGCTAATCAATGCGAGGCTTTTCGGCCGCTGACTGAATTGTGAAATGTCGGAGCATCCATGAACGCACCTCTTCATACATACGTACATTGAACTGTCCCTGCTCAAACATTAAAGCCATTAAATGCTCACTGTGAGATATTGACACACACGTAGGAACAGCAACAGTAGGAAATAAGCATTGAGGATGTGAAATTTCAGTTTTTAAATTATCACCTGAATATCTTTCTGCTTCTTTCTGTGTATTTATCACTTCGCCTCTGTGTTTTGTCACCGTGCAGTCCAACTGAACCAAACCTTCTGTTTCGAATGGAAGAGAAAAGCAAACACATGTTAATGTTTACACATACAGGAGTCACATTCTCCACCATTTTCTATTTGTATCCAGTGATGCTTTTGTAGTCCGTCTCATTCAGTTCAATTAGACTTTTTTTTTTTCTGTCTGTCGTAGGTAAAAAGGTGCAGGTGCTTTCTGGCCATAAAGACTGGATCAGCAGCTGCAGTGTCTCATCAGACTGCAGCATGATCGCCTCTGTCGGCAGATTTGACAGAGTGAGTGTGTTATTGTAAAAGTATGTTGGTTTTGCAAAACAAAAAGAGACACTTTTTCATTTTCACTACTGTGGACCCTGAAGGGGATTGTTTGTCAGATATATTTGTTTTGTGCATGTGTTGTTTTGATACACCTGTATTTGAAACTACAATACTAATAAATTCCCAAAGTCTCTTCTCTTTCTAACAGAGCAAAGCCCCCCCTCCATTATGGTTTTTAATCTAGATCCATTCAGGAAGTTTTTTGTGAAATCAGTTAATTTAATGACCGTTTCCTCCAGTAATCAGAAGGGTGCCAAAGAGGTAAATATTCAGCACCTCAGTTCAAGAGAATGAGACTGTTTCCTTTGCCCTGCTTTGTGATTTTTTCAAAGACACTGCAATGATTGTTAATCAAAGTGAGCGTCTTTTTCTTTATAATTAAGCATTCGTTCTGGCAGTATTTCCTTTTGATGGCAAATGTTTATATTTATTTGGTGATTTGTGAGTCCAGAAGGGTGTAACTGAGTACCAACTCAACTGACTACTTGTAGCTTTTAAGATGTTTCTTTCCACAGTTTGCTTGTTGGTGCGATTGTCTGCTGCTCCCAAACATGCAGCGATCTGGTTGTCTTCATCCTGTGTTTAGTTGTTGTAATGCTGACAGCTAGCAGTTTGTTCTCTTTGTTTGGAGACATTTGGAGCCCCGGGGAGCTTTTCCCACTCCTGTCAAACTGCTAATTTGTCACATTCTCATTTGCAAAAAAAATAAGCAGACAGCTTAACATTGTATAACACCAGACTCTAAGATCACAATCGCACTTTAAACGGTTTGCTGCGTGTTCCAGCCGGTCCTGTTGACATTCACTGAGTCAGTACATCACTGAGAATCAAATCACTAGACTTTCTCTGCAGTAATTACTGTAGGGCAGAATAACTGAGCCTCCACTAAACCTACATGAATTATTCCCAATTAAAAAATAGTCCTTACAGCGAGGTTTAAAGACTCATTAATGGTTTTACCTTCATCAGATGGTGTGTCTGTGGAGTCTGCGGTCGTATACGTTCATGAGGAACCTGACAGGAGGGACCCGTAAGACCTTGTACCTCCTGTCTTCCTGTGACTTCTCTCCTGACGGGGCGCTGCTCGCCACCGCAGCCTTCAGTGGCTCCAGCTGGTGGATCGACCTCTGGGACCCGTACACTGCAGAGAAACTGGCCACCCTGGTGTAGGTTCACACTCAGTTTTCAGTTTTAGAACATACTGATCATTTAGTGCTGGAAATGAAAGGCGTGTGCATTCCTAGAACTCATCCTGAGCACAACTAGGTGATCCTTCACATTGGTGGCAAGTGCATCTTAGATTACATCTCTAATACTGTAAGTGAACAGTTTTACATACAGAACTTGATTTTGCTCTAAGAAAGTAGATTTTTGATGCCAGTTTTCATGGGTAAGGTGCAACCTACACCATTATTATGACTGTTTACATCTGACACACTGTGACAGTAAAATTGAACATTCAAGTCATGACCATTGAGGATTTCTGACAACCGGTATGCCTACTTAGTACAGAGTAATATCATTCCTAAAAGCTATTCTACATTGTTTTTTTTTATCCACAGCGACTACTTTGAAGATTACGGGCAAAACCAAATCTCAGCAATACAGTTTTCCCCCAACGGTTTGTACTTGGCGATCGTAACTGACGACAGGTGAGTAGTTTATCACTTCCATCTCATGAATCTGTTGTATTAGTACATCATGTACATGTTTGTGGACAGAATGATTACAGATGGATGTGTTGTGTTTGCAGAGCTCTTCGGATCTGGGAGCCAGGAAAGAAAGGGATGGTGATGCTGACCAAGGCAGACCGAGACTCTAATGGACTCTGCTGCAACTACCATCCAGGAGGGGGAGTGGTTGCCACGGGGTAAAAAAATCCATCAAGCGTTTACTTACTGCTTGTAGACTTTAGAGTTCAGCAACCCACTTCCCTACTGGCTCCAAATTCTCATTTCTTTTAGGTAAAACATAATTATAGAGCTAAAATAATTAGTTATTTGGTTATTTGCTGCTTTTTTCAGTTGAATATAATTCAATCTTTTGGATAATTGGTCAGATAAAACATTAGCAAACTGAAATCAGCCACATACACAACTTACAGAAAAGTGCTGCAGATACAGAACTGTAGTGTTTCACATTTATTCAGCAGCTCAAATAAACCACATCGCGCACACTTTTTCTCCGGCACTTTAACCTCTTTCATTTCTTACTCTTTAAACGAGACTCCAACTGTTTTCAGTGCTTTAATTGAAACTGCAGCCCCTATTCAAGACATTCTAACCTGTTTAGTGTTTCCACCTTTTCAGTGTAAGTGAGAGACTTCCTTTTCTGGTCTGCATGTTTTCTGAAGTTGCAGTGCATGAAGCCCTCTTGGCAACTAACCAATACCTTCCTGTGACAGAACCAGAGACGGCCACGTGAGGTTCTGGAAGGCTCCGCGTACGGTGCCCAGCCTGTGCCACCTGTGCCGATCCATCCTGCGCCACTCGGTGTCCACACACCAGATGGAGCCGCTGCCCCTCCCCAAGAGGATTCTCGAGTACCTCACCTACAGAAACATCCCCGACCACCTCAAGACCTGCTGCTCCTCAGATGAAGAGGAGTGGGAAGGCTAAATAGGAGCACTAACACAATAACCACTGACATTTACAGCAAGTGATTGTTATACACTATCTCATAATAATTTGTTTTTGTTTGCTAATCGAGATGCTTTCAAAGCTTGTTTGAGCACTGGAAGCATCTCTCAGCCCTTGTCCACACAGCATGCGTGAGCTACCTCGCTGAACTGCTGCAGCTCACACACAGAGAGCGTTTCTACTGCGGCGCTGCTAATGCCAGCCCCGTCGTTCTACGTTGAGTTTCTTTGATAAATACGATGAAAGCCTTGTTTACAAATGAATGGATTCTGTCTACAGAAACACTAAGGAGCTTTTGATTTCTGAAACAGATGCAGGAAGTCTTGAGTTTGAATTTTTTTCCCCCGTATGTGACATTCTATAGCTATACACTGAAACTGTAGTGAGATGAGAACACTGGCTGCTCTGACCTGTCAACATGAGCAGCAAAAAAAAGAAGCATGCACTGCTCATGCGTGTTGTGTGGACCGGGCTTCACTGTAATCTACCTTAGATGCAACATTTCTACATTAGGGATTTCATTTATTGCACTACAACTGTAAGACGATGCATAAACTCAATGTTCAAATGCTTGACTTGAATATCACAATTTTATACTCCTAATTTATTGTGTAAATATCAAATGTATATGTTTCTAATTCCTGTCTGTCATTACAAAACAGGACATGCACTACTACTGTATCAGCACATGTTAATTGTTAATATAACAAAGACTGGACTTATAGAAAGTAGTTTTATTAAACAGATTCAAACACATGTTCACGTGTATGGTGTTTTCTAACATTACAACATTTCTTCAATATTTTTTACCTCATCATAGATTTTTAATGGATGAACTGGGGACAGCAAGTTCCTACACTGGCAACTAAATTTACAGTCCATATTTTAAGTGCCCAAAGGACAGGTCTTTTTTGGTAACTAGAGTTACAAATGTCTGCCTTTCATTTTGCTCAGCTTGTATGCAGATGTGAGTGACTCAGATAGCTGCGAGCGTTTGTGTCTGCACTCTACACCGACTCTGTGGAGCAGTGGTGGGCAATCATGCAATGGATACTCAAGGGCTTCTGTTTTCTCTCTAAATAAACAAACTCAAGTGATTTCACTGACTTATAAAGAGAGTGTACTGATCAGTAAAATCACCTGTTTGGCTGAAAAGAAAACCTACCTATTCTCAGCTATCCATGGCATCATTGCACACCACAGCCACAGGGAGGGGAAGATTTTGGCCAAACTGTTGTTTGGTAGGAAAGGTAAGACCTATTTCTCTTGTAGAGGAAAAATAGATTCTTGCAAAAATATCACAAATTCTAGCTTTATTGTCATTGTGGTACAAGCACAAGTGATGGTAGCCACTAAAGTGTTGGTGACAAAGTCAGGAGGCGGGATTCGTTGTGGGCTACAGCAGTTACTGTATCTATGAGGCCTCGCTGACCACGAGGTCTCTCACTGCCTGGAAAGCTGCCACCATGGAGCTCAGCTGGATCTTCTCATCGGTTCCTGAGGCGAGCCTGTGTCTGAGGAGATGATGCATGGTAAGTCAAGAAGCAACATTTCCAAACATCTGGATGCCTTCATGGTGTCAATGTGTTATTCTGAATTACTTGTATGCAATGTAAGCTGAGCCTTCCTGTTAATATTTGTTTATGGAGAGGAGGCACGAATGAGCTCACTTACTCGATGTCAGCCAACTTGATGAGCAGACCGATCCGAATAGCTGGAGGGAAGTCCACTTGTAGGGGAAAAAGAAAAAAATAATTCAGATACTTGTCTAGTACCTAACTACAGAAAGTGGCAAAAAGGTCAACAGATACCAACCCATCAATGAAACAAGGGGAAATTAAAACTTTAGTAACAATAATACACAACCAACGTTAATATGAAAGTGAAGGTATTCGTATTTAAGTTGTTTAAATCAAAATGAAGATGTGTCTAACACAGATGTGTTGGTTCTCCTGTTAGACATTGTTTAGTTGTGTGACAGTCAACACAGAAACCACTCACACATAGAGAGCATTGAGCAACAAAAGAGCTAAACAGCATCGAAATGGAGAAATATTAAATACCTGAACCCTCCTTAGAGAGCAGTGAGACTTAACCTACAAGTACAGACCATACCAACCACAGCTCAAGTAATAGTTCTAATGGTGAAAACTCTTATTTTACATTGGTTAACACAAATTGAACATGCCAGCATAAAACTTTAAACAAAATAAGTTATTTATTTTAATTTGCTGATTAAATCTTTACACGTGCTGCCATCTGCAGTGTCCCAAATCTTACCTCTGTGTATGAGCAGATGAACCTCAGTGAGGATATCATGCAGTGCCAAACCTTTCAAAGTCTTGAGCTCAAGGATTTCTGTGAAGAAGGCGTTAAGGAGTTAAAATAACACAAACAGAACTGGTGTTAAGTGGTTTCACAAGATGGATAAAAAGCTTGTTGGTTATATAAACAGAAATATGCACTCGTTATTCTATAGTGAAGCTTCCTGAGTGAGTTATCCTGGATGACAAGACGAGGTAAAGGATACGCTTGTAAGCTGTGTTGAAGTCTTTGTTGAGCGACCAGTCGAGGATGTTGGCTATGTCCGAGCGGAGGGGGTGACCTGTGCAGGTGTACACGGTGTCCTCCGTGACCTTCTCGTACGCCATACTGGTGCTCTGAAAACAGAGGTGGAATACAGTTAGTACCCTTCTATAATTATATTTAATAAGTGTCATGTATTTGTTTTTTTAGCTGTTTCAAAACACAATATGAATGAAAACTCTTAACAGAACAGTGACAGAATGCTACAAGGCACGGTGGTCAAGAGGTTGGTCGCACCTGCAGTATGTTGAGCGATCTTCTCATATCACCTGATGCTAAGGTCACAAGGGCCTTCATTCCATCTGGACTTACGTCAAGGCTGCCACAAAAAGATGAAATCTGTCAGATCAATGTAAAGCTAAACTGTGTGTGTCCTACTGGAACATAAATGTATTACTGTCAAACTGTGATATGATTTGATTTCATGCTACTGCCTCTGATATAACCTTAAATTTAAATTCTTTCCCATGAACTATATTAATTGCTGTTACAAAGAGGATGTCATTTTTTTTTTATTTGTCACAGTAAGAAAACTCAAGTTTGGAGAAATATGTCCAAAGGGTTAGATAAACAGCTCCTTCCCTTTTTTTGTGCCTTTAAGTAATTCCTTTTTTGTGCTAAAAAAATAACAACACGTTTCCTGTGAAACCCAAACTGGTAGCATAATGACATAATGGAGCATAACAGTGTAAAGGCCAACAAGTACTGACAATGTCTTGCAGATGGTCTCACTAGTTTTGTGGGTGTAGAAACATTATTCAAACTTTTACCCTTCACACTAACACACACCTCTCCTGCTGGACTACATGCTCCAGCCGAGGGATCATCTGGTCCGGGGACAGCGGGCCGAAGCGAAACCTGGTGCAGCGAGACTGCAGGGCCGGGATGATCTTGGACAGGTAGTTGCAGATCAGACAGAATCGAGTGTTTTCTGTGTACTTCTCAATCACTGAGACAGCGAGAGGAGAAGAAAGCACAAGTCAGAAGTTGGTGTAACAAAGAAACGTGAAAGATACAATGCTGCATCTAAAATGTTACTTATATATATATATATATATATATAATAAAATTTAGTTATATAAATACTGCATGCATGTGTGGTCTTTTGTAGACAAGACTGTTTTTTACTTTTTCTATAACTTCTATGGTTTTAGTAATAATCTGTAGAAAAGTTGTAAACTCTTGGATTAGGAAATGTCATTGCTCCCCCTGCCCCTGAAGCAGCTGAATTTAAACACTAAATTAGACCACATAATTTGCTAATGGCACAATAGACTTTTTTTCTGGGAAACTGCAATTAACAATTTTTTTTGACAAATAATTAATCGTGAAAATAATTGGCAGATTAATCTATAATGAAAACAATTGTTAGTTGCAGCCCTACTATGATGACACAAACACATGTAATAAAAAAAATAAAAATAAAAAAAAACAGTAGTTAAATGTTCCAGTTAAGCTTAATCAATAGTTAAAACCAAATCTTAAAGACAGGTTTTCGGTTTAAAATGAATTTCAAGGTGTACAAGCAGATACACTGTAATTCACCAGAAGCCAAATTGTCTGGCTGCTCAGTGAGGCGTGTGGCTCACAGTGGGCAACGCCCGGCAGAACAGATGGCTTTACCTCGCCGCAATGCATTCTGGGCATCTTGGGTCATGGCATCAGCCTCATCCAGTATCACCAACTTGAAGCCCTTCCTGGAGGACAAGAGGGATGGACAAAAAGGGAGCAGTTTAAATAATTCACCCTGTAGTTATGTGTTGCAAATAAAGGGAAGAGCATAAAGAACATTCATTTCTGAACAGAAGATATGTGACAGGTGTAGTAGCTGGATTTTGTTCGTCTTACTTGAAGATGGTCCTGGTGCTGGCAAAACTTAGAACGGGACCTCGTACTACATCAATACCTCTGTCATCTGATGCGTTTAGCTGCACAACAAAATCAGTCAAATATTCAAATCAAAGAGCCACAAAGTCCCGAACTACTGAAGATCTCAGGAGCAAAGATACAGAAAAGCTAATAAACCAAATGGGTCAAACGAGGAGTTGTAGCGTACCTCCAACACCATAGAGTTGAACTCTCTGTCCTTGTACAGCTGCCTGGCGCAGGCGAGGATGGTGGAGGTTTTGCCTGTTCCAGGGGGGCCATAGAACAAGAGATGGGGGAGCTTGTCCTCACTAATAAACCTCTGGACTAAAGACATGAAAAACAGTTGAACAGTACTATTAATTAAAAACATGAGGAAAGTTTTGAAAGCTGTGGCTTTCGTATCTTTATTAAATCTTACAGTACAATTATAGCAAACAAAGACAAGAGACAACCACACTGACAGACAGCAGCAAAGGTTTACGAGTTTAATAAAAACAAATATGTTATGACTTTGTAATTCATATTTATGTACTGTTTGGTAGTAATAATTAAATGTAATAAAACATGAAAAATAAATGGGACAGCAGATTTATAATCCTTTAGTGGAAGGTGTTACTGATGAACCCTGTTGTGCAGATGCTTTAAGAATAAGCATAATACATATAGCCCACATACTTACTGGTGCTTAGAATATCTTTATGTGAGATCAGATCATCAAGTTTCTGTGGTCTGTATTTTTCAACCCTGAAATATGGAGCAGAAATAGATCTTCCATCAATATTGTTATCAATATTAAACACTTTTCTTTTGCTAAAAGACTGTTACTGTAAGTACAGGACTAACTCAAAATAACATAACCTATTACCAACTTGTAATCTGGTGTAAACTACAGAAGGAACTTCATTCAAATTTCTCTACTTTAAAACCTGTTACTAATCTGTTTGGGTACGTATGCTATAACCTGTGACTCACGTTGCAGACTTCAAATTGTTGGGTGCCACTTTTCAATTCGGCATCTATAATTTGCACCATGCACTAATATATATCAAACAAATGTCCACTTCATCGTCTGCAGACCCTGCAGCACTTCATATGAGCCAGCTGGTTCAAGTGGCAAAACGGCGATGCTTGATGGAATAACCAGCTATTATATGTGCCGAAATAAAGAGAAGCTGACACTGCTTCACATTAAATGTTCGTTTTACAAGTATGAGGAATATCTAGCGTTATTTGAAAACAAAAAGCCCAGAAAAGGAGCCTGAATAGAGGACAGGCATCTAATAATGAGGCGAGCTGCTAGCTTGAGTCCATAGTAGGCATGTTAGCTAGCTAGCACTAACTATTTTAACTAATTTGTGATAAACGACGACTTTTAACTCACCAAGGTAAATTTCTGGTCTGTAAGGGTGCTTTGTTTGTAGAAGCCATGTGTTCTCTATCTGTGAATTTAGCTCCAAACCGGGTTAAATACTTTAAGAGTTTTTAGCACTTCCACTGTTAGTGGCAGTGTTTGGCGCGCGGCACTACAAAACATGCGTCAAACGTCACGGCGTACAACCAATGGGATCGCTTTGTCGGCTCCTGTGGGCGGGGCCTCGATGACATGGTAAGCCACAGTAAAAAGTGTGTGAAAGATATGAAATGTGAGCATACACCATGCTGCTTGATCATAGGCTATTTTAGTGCATTTTGTAAATATTAATAATAATTTCTGGAACAAATGCGTTCTTGAAAACATTTTATATAAAATTAAAATGATTAAAACCAAGAATGAGTTCAATATGCTGTTCTATGTCTCTCTCTGTTAGCCAGTCTTTTCAGCTGGGCTGGACCCAATGCTGGCTGAAGTCTCTGCAGGTGACAGAGAAAATGTCATACAAATTTCCCACTAGTGTTCTCCTCTGCCTCATGAGAGATGACATTGCTGTGTACAGTTCAGACCCCCCTCTGCTGGGATTTCTCCCACCAATGGTCTGAAGAGAGCAAATTGTCACAATTCAGTTAAGCCCATAAGACTTTTAGAATATATATATTTTTTTATATAGTCCTTTACAAGTAACTTCATCACTGTTATGGTCAAGTAGGCTAGTTATGATGTTTATACTTGATCCAACAATTAAAAAAAAGTAAAAAGGCCTTAAAATTCTACACATGGGTCAGATTTTTACTTTACAATTTTCTTACAATTTAAGGAAATAAATCCCATAAATTCTCCTCTGAACTTTACTCACCTTTACTCCAACGTGGTCTTTCTTATATTGCAATTCTTCTTACAACTATTGTCCCGTGTCTGATGCTTACATACAGCAGGACACGCAATTCTCTCATAATCTAAAGCTCATTTGAACCTGATTTTGCTTCGAGCCATTTGAATTAATATTTTCTCCACTGACTTTCTATGTAAATTATGTGGGCAATATTTTTTTTTTTCAAACAATACTGTGATGATAATCAAATATGCTTATTTCTATGCAGTACATATGTCATGTACCAGCATTTCATTCATTTAATTTCAGAACACATGACAAGCCTGCATTTGAATTATTATTTCACCTTAAAGCTGCAGACAAAAAAGGAAGACATACTCAGATCTAAAAGACGTACAAGTGCAATACAACAGAATACTCTGCTACAGGTAGAAGACTTGCATTTACTTAAAGTAAAAGTACTCATTAACCAGAACTGCATTATTGCATTATCACTTTAATGTTTTAACTGGTAAGGGTGAAGCTAATTTTAATTAGTTTATACAGCACAAGTGACTACTGGGTCATTTGTCCCTGGGGATCAATACAGTAATTAAATCTTAATCTGTAATAATACATCATAATTTAATAGTTGATTATGTGTTTTATTATTGATCTGACTCAAATGAAATAACTTAAGTCATCAAATAAATTAAAAGGAATAATAATAAAAGGAAGTCTCTAAAAACATCTCTAAAAAGGTTAAGTGAGGTAAAGTTTAAATTCGTCCTAATATGATGAGACTCTCAAGGCTTAAAAATGCTGTCAATAAATTAAAGAAAAAGTACCATAAATGCACAAATCACAGTAAAGAGAAGGGAAAAGAGACCGATTGAAACCCACTATAACACACTGTATAGAAATAGTGTGTGTGTAGGCTGTAGGTGAGTGTAGGCATGTGTGTAGGTGTCCTGTATGGCAGTGCACACATCTAGGGTGTGTGTAAAAACGATGATGACCGTACATCTTTCCTCCAAAACATGTGAAAAGTGTCAGTTGTGTATCTCTCTCTCTCTCACACACACACACACACACACACAGGCCTGGAGACTGGTCAAAGCAGCGCAGCCCACTGCACTCAGCGCTATCATCTCGCGAGAGCGGCCCCTCACGGCGGTGCCTGGGCGATGCGATGCTGTTGCTGTTGCTGTGGGTTTGATTGACAGGAAACATGTCGGTGTGGTGGGAGCAAACCGGGATGCAGCTGCTGCCAAGGGAGACAGGGAGTACCTGCATCCAATCCACACATCAGCACCTTTAAAACCGCCAGGCTTTCCCCTCCGATACGTCTGCTTATGATGCGCTGAACAGCTTCTCTTCTTTTTTTAAAACATCCATTTGAAACGAAGGGGCACCCAATGGATGCTGTGGCAAACCGCGTAGTCCGGCTCGGTATCTTCATATTGTGTTTGATTTAGCCTACAACCAGAGACACCTTGATGAAACAGCAGGAACTACGAGGACTGTTGTTGCAATGGAGTCGACTCTCTCACGGCTCAAACCCCGTCTGTAAACCCACAGCATCTCGTTTCATGGCGTTTTGCAGGTTGCTCTGCTCCGTGGGCTTCTCCACGTTTCTTTTCTGAATTATTATTTTGTTGTTGTTGTTGTTGTTTTGGTTTATTTAATTTTTTTTTTTTTTTGAAAAGTGCAACGGGAAAATAACGACTACTGCTCGCAAAACTATGAACGAGGAGATGACAAAAAGCGAGGAGCAGCATCTTAGTTTGCAGAAAGCCTTGCAGCAGTGCGAGTTGGTGCAAAATATGATAGACATAAGCATTTCTAGTTTGGAGGGTTTACGGACCAAATGTGCCACATCCAACGACTTGACACAGAAAGAGATACGAACGCTGGAGGTAAGCACCATTTGAGCGGAATGACTGAATCTCTGCTGTGCATCTTCATCTAAATCAATACTGAGGGCTGTCACCGTCTGTTATTTATTTCTAGGCCACACTATGCATAATTTTCACTGCCTTTTTTTTTTTTTTTTTTTAACGCCAAACTGCTTTTTCTGCTGTCTGTGTTGTCGTTGCATACATTTATTTTATTTATTTTTTGCAAAGATCTCTGCTAAAGCCCGCTCGCTATCTGTGTTGTGCAGTGCAATAAATCAAGAGGCTACGGGGCTGCAGTGGGCTGTTATAGACTTGCGCATTCTGCAGGTGGCGGGGAGAGAAGGTGGCTCTTCTCCATCAGAATAATATCTGAGGCAGCCGAGGCCTATAGGCAGCCCGTGTTTACAATCCATTACCGATATCGCCAGCCTGCGCATCTGTCCACGCAGCGCATCCAGAGCCCGCTGTTATGCAAGGCGAGCAGATTACTGAAAATGTTATCCGTATATCGTTATCCGTTTAATTGGCCCGTGGGGTATTCCGTAAATTGCGTTACGTAATGGCCATCATATCCCCGTGTTTGTGGTCGAGAATATCAGACCGTCGGTTTTGAGACCACTTAAACCAGTCGAACACAGTGAGAGGCTGTTACGGGACATAAAAAATGCCATAAAGTGCGATAAGGTCACTGGAAACTCACTATTGAGCAGCGCAGACGCGGCACAGCATTAAGGGCCTGTAAGAATGTTATGGTGATGCCTCAAGAGATTAAAACAAATACCATAAAGTGCAATAAGGTCGCCATAAACTCACCACTGAGTATCTGTGTGTGCCGTCAACACACTTTTAAGTCCCAGTGAGAATATGATAGGCTGTTAGAGAACTATTACATAAAAATAGCATAAAGTAAAGTCACTTGTGAGCGCCACACACTAATGCCCAACCCCACAGGAATACATATTATAGAAGATATGGTCATATATTCAGTGCTGTGTCTGAGCTATTAGGTGAAGTTTGTTGCACAGACAGGGGACAGGAATGTAATCCAAGAGGAGAGAGAACTAATATCAAGTACAAATGTGCTGCCAGCAATGAGCAGCCTACAGCATGAAGATAAATGTTCACTATGTTCCTTGAATGCCTTGCAAAGCATTGTGGGTACTGGATTATTTGTTGTACAGCAATATTACAACATATTAGTATAAGCCTGGCAGATCTTTGTGAATTAGGTTTTTTCTAAACTAAGATTTGATCGATTGTGTCATGATTTGACCTTTTTGTGCAAACTGAAAATATATAACTTTACCTTTTTTGGATGAGTCCCTTCAGCAAAAGTAAAGGTGTACCGTAGAAGATACACGTTGGCAATCTTAAAGCATAGGCCTGTATGATCAGCATGTGTACCAAGTATTACATATCTACAACAAACTGTGCTGCATGCTAAGGGGTTATATGGAAAAGGGGGAGGGGGTTCTAACTTTTCCTTTGGTTGAAGCAAGCATAGTCTGACTTTTTTGGGAGAGCACGGGAGGGTCTTTTATTTCTTTCTCATCCTAAATTTATATTTCATTTCAGCCTTCCTTTTCAGTGCTGTTCAAAAGTTACATAAATTGATACACCAAAAAGAACTGTATTAATGACTGTATTTTGATGGTGCGTATTAGAAGACTTTAGTACAAATATGTACATTTTCAGCCGAGGCTTTTGCAATGACACCTATGTGGTTAAAGGGACCTTGCAGAGTTTTTGAACACTATTTGTGCTGTAGTGTTGTTTGTATAAGTTGTTGGCACGAGCATGAGAAGGGAAACATATTTGTGGTGACTGCAGAGGGCAGTAATGCAAGCTAGTAATGTGCCAATAAAAGAGACAATATAGGTTTTAAACATTCATAAGTTATTCATCTGTTTATACCTGATCTATTGAATTGAAAGAAGGAAGTATAATGCATTGGGGGTTGTTGTGGCCTTTCTATTATAAACCACAATAGTGCAACATCTGGCTTCACCTTGTGTACATACTGTAGATCTTCAAAGTGACACTGTGGTCTGCAGCAACATTTTTGTAGCATATTGATTTCACTTTACACATAATATGCTCTCATGCCTTCTACAGAGTAAGCAAAGTTGAAAAAACCTTTTATAGTTAACAATGTTATAGCGTAGTTGTTTTTGGACGCAGTTAATAGTAATTGTGCATCCATTGAGTTACACTAACATTTTGTGAAGTGAACCTATGTATTAGGGCTGGACGAATATTTGGATATTCGTTTGTTGGGAAGGTATTTGGTTTTCCATTTTGAGGTTCAGATATTTGCACATCGCTGCACGTTTTTTTCTGTTTCTCTCTCGCACTTTCTTAGTCAAAGTTGCCCAAAAAACAACAGTAGGTGAGGTGTGTGTGGAGGAGGAGTCTCTCTCCGTGTTTCTCTGTAGAGCGGTGGTGCCAA